CTTTCCCTCCCCTCACTGCTCCTTTCCTTTTCTGAAGATGAGCCGGTCGTGGTACCCCAGACAGCAGCCTTTGGAGGACTGAGCTAGCGAAGAAGTGGGAAAAAAAAACCCAAGCACGCCACAGAAAAGTGTCGTATCGAAATATTACGAGGCTGTGCTGCCAAACATAATGCAATAAAGTCTGCAGAACAAGGTGGGGGGAGAAAATACGGCATTTACCTGACAGGAGATCTGCACAAGGTAGACCAGTTCCTTGGATTCGCAGCCGTTCCTCGTTACTTCATTCTGTTCCTCCGGGAGCGAAAGCTACACCGAGGGAGCGGGGAGGGGGGTGGAGAAAAGAGGGAGAGAGAAAGACCAGGTCAGTGAGCAGGGCTAAGCCAGGCACGTAATAATGCACGAAGCACAACATTCACATCAACTTGCTCCAAGACATGCTGAGTATCGGGGAATCGGGGAAGCGCTCCTCTGTCTGGATTGTCAGACAGAAAATACTCAGCATTCATGGCTTACACAGACCCTCGAATGCCATTGGATTTTGGCACCTCACCTGATAGTTTAAAAGTAAAAATAGGGCTCAAAAATGAAACAATCATAGGCAGGCACACTGTTCAAGCCAGGGATTAAACCCCTAGCTTACAAGCCTGCAAAATTAATTGTTCACTGAAAATATCTCTATAAATATTCATGTATCAGATAACAGTGATTCCCCCTCCAATTTTATTCATTTTTTTATTCTATATGTTCAGGCAGACATTACATAATAAAACATATCTCCCAATTTCAGTGTTGTCAAGCACTTTACCACAACAGAGAGTTTTATGGCACCATTCGGCACGTACAGAGTCCTTCAATACAAGATCAGGATGTGCTTTGCTCCAGAGCAGTGAGGAGAGATGTAACCGTGTCATTCCTCCACAAGTACCGAGCGCCACGACTAGTCCTACTACTAGTCTTGCCACTCCCACTGGTCTCGATATCCTGCACTTAAAATGGCTTATAGTTAATGATCTTCTCTGAAAACAGAAATTACGAAGTGATCACAAGCAATTAAGACTGTTTGCCAAGCAGATAAAGACATGAAACGTCTTCCAGAAACTGTTTTATAACAGAAGAAGTGATCCTTAGCCAGTGCAGAGCCCCAGGAAGAGAAAACCACGAAACGCTCCCTTAAAGGTGCGCGGAATGGGGTGAGGGATCTCCAGCTCTGCACACCGCAGCCATCACTGCCAGCGTTACTCCTCGTCTGACGGACCTTAACCTGCACAGTGAACGCCCTGCCGTAGTGCCAGCAGAGTGCCTCGCCTGCTTTCTCAAGCAGAAATGACGTCAGCTTAAAGACAGAAAGCGCTGAAGAAGAGTCCAGGACTTTTTACACAGAGGTCTTCTGGATCTCTCTTGGAAAACGTGTACATAAAAATTTAAGTCTGTAAAAAACTGGTAATTAGCTAAGACCAAAAAAACCCAACGACAAATGAAAGCAGAAACTAACATAAGACCGAGGAGAAAAATCATAAATGGCTGTATTTGCATGAACGTAAGCAGGAGAAAATCAGAACCAGGTGATTAGAGGCACGCACCTCCCGAGAAAGACAGAGGTGTAAGGCAAAATCTGCTTAGGTGTAAATGACCCCGACACCCGGCGTGAATCGAACTTTGCATTAGCCAGCACCTCTTGCCTCTTTGCACACAAGTTGCAGAGCACGCAGACTCAGCGCTCTTCCTTCACTAGACCTAACTTCCTGAATACTAATTTCTCTTCTGATGGTTGTATACAGGAGTGCTAAGAATTAAAAAGATTTTTGGACCAAAGAAAGTCTTTGGATTTCCATAATTTACTGTATTTTTTACAACACTAAATGTATTTAGAGGAAGAGAGCATGTGCGTGCAAATGCTCACCGCTCCCTCAGGCTGGTTACACAAATACAACTTTCTCCTGCTTTGTGGCAGTCCTTCTGGGCAAGCAAATGCAAATTTTCCATCCAAGGATTTGTCTCAGAAATCAAGTTTGCACTTTCAGTCTCCACTGTTGCCTAACAGTGTAGAGCAGTGTAAAAAAACGGTACCCAACTGGGGACATCTAAGAGCCTTTCGCTGAGGCCGCTCTTTACATAACCAGGACACAGCAAGCCCTAAAACACCGTGCAAGCTCTTGAAGCTGAAACCCACCCAGTGCCACCTCCGTGGGACACTGCCTTTACTCCACCGTAAATCCCCTCTCCAGAAAACCCACAAAATGCCTCCCTCGGCCGCTGCTGCAGCTTCTCCTGCACCACTTGCTCGGCACGCTCTCTTTTCGGCTTCTGGATAGCCTCTCATTGAACCTATAAATTCTCCCTTCACAGTGAGTTTTCTTCTGTGAAGCTTTCCAGTGAGAACTTCAAAGGTTTTTACGCACGCTCACATCCTCACGAGGTTGGTGAGCCGTACAGTCCCAGAGAAATCTTTCTACCTGCTGCAAAGGATCTTTCACATGGTGAGATTAATTCCACTAAAAAAAACGCATTCCAGAAAGTGGCAAATTTAAAGCTTTGTAAGAATGACGTTTCTATGTGTACAACAGCTTGCAGCTTGCTGCCATCAATGTGATTCAATACGATCATTATTGATTTCTGCACTACATTTTCCATCCCACTTTATCATCATTCTCTTGCTATCAAATGTTACATTTAAAGTGCTACTAAGTTTTGAAACTAATTAACAGTCAAACAAAATAACCAAGCACGCAGTAAAGGAAAGCTAGTACATGGCTGGACTTCTTTTCCACGTTTCTCAGGTAAGAAGGAGCTCCAGTTCAACTAAACGCAGGTTTCCTACTCAGGGAGAAAAGTTTCCATCCTTTGATCTTCCCCACGCTTATTTAGCGTACGTACACCTACTCTATCGACCCACAATGAGAAACCTCAGGCCTTGCCTTCCCTAAGAAGCTCAGGGCTAAAGCCCACCACGGCCGGCTCCGCTGACCTGCAGAGCCAGCAGCCAGGCGATGAAATCGCCAACTGACAAATGCAGGAACATATCCAAGGCCGGGTTCTGTGCAACACAACGCGGGGTAGGAAAAGGTACGGGTCAAGTTAAGACAAAGGTTGAATTGCATCACCTTTCCTCTTACACACACCGTAATTTACACCAGTTTGGACTTCAGTCAAGCCAAGTCTATACACGAACTCTCCAGCAATAGCAAGTGAATCATCTGTAGGCGTGAGGTCCACGTGTGTAGGACGACTCAGTCACAGCACACTTTTCATCGGAAAGAGCACACCTACCCGAGGATTAACCTACTGATTTACATCCACTGACTTTACACCCACGAAATTAGTTTCCACTTTCATGCTTCTGAATGTCCCCATTTAGACAAACTCACTGTAGCGAGAAGTGACATTTTAAACCCATTGTAATGCCCTATATATACGCAACTGTCTTATTTCAGAGTAAAGCTGTAAAAGCAAGCTGAGCGAGTGTCCCTCTTCCTGCAACCAGCCTCGTGCCCACTGAGAGACAGAGAGAGCACAATTGTCCACACAGGAAAACCTGCTACAGGTTTTATCCTGTAACATAACTGTCCTCGCAGCAAAATACGCTGGAGGATGAATATTTGCTTATGCTCCCTGTTCCCCATGTGGCATCATTTTTGCTTGGCCCTGTTAACAGATGTGCATTAATGCTCTTCAAAAATCACGGATGTCCCGATGTTTAAAGGCCTCTCCTCCTGCAGCATCCCTTCTAAACAAAACATCCTAGGAAGTACAGGTGCACCTGGGCCTGATTTGAAATCCAGGGAGCACAAAGCAAAGGTCTCTCTCGACCTGAGCGGACTCTGAACACGACTCGCAGGCAGAATTTTGTTGACTCCAGATTGGGAAACTGAATTTCATCTTCTTAAAGGACAGACCAAAGACAGCAGGGTCTTGTGGATACGCCTCTCAAGAGTTTCAATGTGCATAATCTGAGATAGCTGAAATCATCTGTAAGCAGTATTTATGGTAACTAAAATATACAGCAGACTTTACATATACGGCTTGATATATAATCTGCACTGCTCATTTTTCACATTGAAAATGGCTGTCAAACTTCCTGAACCTGACAAACAATGATGATGCATTAGGTTCTGTTAGATTCATATATTCTTGGAGTATGTACGCTTAGCTAGCACGAGCAGATATGTCTCCATAAATTCGGTTTCTGGTATCCTAATCTTTTCAGGGGCAGCATTTGCTGATACACAAGAAAGCCTTAAAGCTGGTCCTGCGACACATCACGCTTTAACAGGTGTATGGATACTGCAGAGCGCTGCCAACGTTACGCCGAGGTATTGTTCAGATTCATCTTTACACAGCTAGACACTGGTTTGTGAGCCTCCACTCTGCCTTCTGCAGACATCCACAAAGAACTGACGAGCGTATGAAACCCTGGAGCAGTCAGGTAATTCCTCCTCTACCAGCAAATTCACGCTATGCCACCCTGTGCAGCTGACTAGCAGGAGCTGTAGTTCCTACTACAACGATCTGCCAAACGATGGGTGACTATAATCAACCAAACAGCAGCAAAGACTCCCAAGAGCAGGAAGCCAGCTGAAGAGGCAATCAGGATCTCGCAGCATCAACAGTAACAGCTTCACCTCGGCATCTTGAAAGACAAAACTAAGCCACGTACCTTGCTCGTTTACAATTTTGGCAAGAAGAGCAGTGTTTGCTAAGACTTTATTGATTAAATATACAGGCAGGAGTAGCTTAAAATGCTTCTAGTTCATGTGGCCTTCCCACCGCGTGAGAAAAAGCAGCTCATCTCTAGTAAGCTAGCAGGTAAGGACAGTGATTACAGGAGTCTGCTGCGGAGGATAATTTATCAGTTACCCCTCTTGTAGGGATAAACAGCAACAAAGTACACAGGGGGGCGAGTAAGTTACGATACGGCACATTCAGAAGTCTTCAGACGCTCGGCAGTTTCACAGAGTGCAATTCTGTGCATCTGCACTTCTCCTCCGGAACAGGGGTTAAGAACAACAAAACAAACGCTCTCCTCTCTCCTCTCCGAAGTGGCTTTGGAAGCTCCCTTCTGCTCTCCCTCCAAGAATAATGCTCGCATCACACTCTGGCAGGTCTGTGCTTGGAGCAAAGCAGCAGGCGTTTTGAAGACTCATTTGTCTGTCTGGAGCTCCACAATCTCAAGCCTACTGCGAACCTGTCTGGAAGGCGCGTGGGACCTGCCACGTTCTGCGCGCAGAGATCCAAAAAGCAAGGGCTAGTGACTGCCGAGAGGACTTTGATTAGAGCAGAGGCAGCTTTTAAGTGGCTCTGTTTCACGA